CTACTAGCTTACCTCTACGAAATCCTCAGCCTCAAGAGGAGAGTTCCTGTTTCCTCATGCCTTATATATCTTTCTGTGTCCTGCAATATTAATTCCTGGGGTTAAAGGCGAGTGTCACCACTGCCTGGTTCTGTTTCTCTCATGTAGCCCAGTGTGGTCTTGAACTCACAGAGATCAGATGGATCTCTACCTCCTGAATGATAGGATTACAGGTATGTGCCACCGCTGTCTGTCCTCTATGTATAATTTAGTGACTGGCTCTGTCCTTTGATCCTCAGGCAAGCTTTATTGGGGTACACTACACAGTATATCACCCAGGGAATGTGTATGAAGGTCAGAGGATAAGTTAGTGGAGTTGGTCCTTTCTTTACATAATGTGAGGCCATCAGTCCCTTGACCTGCCTGGCCACCTCACCAGCTCTAAGTTTTCTCCAGGACATTATTCGGTTTCTCACTAGTGTACAGAAGCCTTAGCTTTCCCTTTTGAATCTGAAGAAGAAATGGATTTAAATTGTAGAATCACAAGAGAGCTTGTTGTTGAAAGAATGTGGCAGAGCCAGTTTAAGCAAATTGTGAAAACATTTTGGTGTTATCCACCCAGCATTTTTATCTTCTTCAAGTAGTGGGGAAAAAAAAAAAAAGACAGTTCATCCTACTTAATGAAGGTCACCACTGTGTTATAAAATTTATGTTAGGGCGTATATAGTGTTATTTCTTAAATACAATTGCTTAAATTGTATTTAGAAGTTTGAAAGCTCTTACAGCTATAGATTTTTTTGTTTGGGGAGGTTTTATTTTTGTGTTGCTGGAAGTCAAACACAAGGCACTGTACTACTGAGCTGATACCCCCTAACCTCTGTAGGCGATTTTCGTTTGCTGTCTAGAATACTGTTTATATACATGAGGAAATGTGTAGAAAACCATTCACTGCTTTTAAGGATAGAGGCATTTATACTGATGAGAGCAACTAAGTCAAAGTTAAGATTACTTTGCTCACAGCCCTCATTTGTGCCTTCTAAAGCAGTGGTCAAAGCTTTGGGGATTTTAATTGAGCCACCTTATTTTATTAATGAAGAAGCTGAAAACTAAATACCTAATCAAGTACTGGATTAAGTCTGAGGAAGGAATGCTAAACTGTGGGACTGAAAGATTAGTTAAGAGTACTGTCCACTCTTGTAGAGAACCTAGGTTTGTGTTCTAGCACCCAGATGGTGGTTTATAACTATCTGCAGCTCTAGTTCCAGGGAATCCCATGCCCTCTTCTGGCCCCTGTGGTCACAGTCATGTGTGTGGTGCACATATGTGTAAGGCTAAACACCCAAACACATAAAATATAAAATGGAAAAAGATGTCTTTAAGAATGAAAACATTTCTACTTGGCCTGATGTATAGAATAGGCTTGTAATCCAGCCTACTTGGTTGGATGAGGCAGACATTGTGCAAGTTCAAGGTAAGCCTGGGCAATTTAGTGAGACTTTATCTCAAAATAAAGAAGTAAAAAGGACTGAGGCTGGAGCTCAGTGGAGAGCCCTTGTGTAGTGTGTCAAGACCCAGGCTCAGTTCCTAGCACCGCACACACACAGCCCTCAAAATAAAAAGGAAAGAAAGAAAATGATGTTTCTATAATGGTGTTCATTGGTAGCGCTAACAAGTACTAACAAAGGATATCATTAGCTTGGCTGAACTATTAAAATCCCATTTTTCTCAAACTACTCTGGGTTTATATATTTGTTCCTATTTGGAAAGTAGAGTTTCTAAAGATTGATTTCATAGTGCATGAAAGGGGGGAGAAAGGTGAAACTCGATAACTTATGAACAATGTATTTAATACAGAATAAAATTGAGTAAATATTGAAGAATAGTAACCTCTATTAAGCATTACTTTGGAGAAACATAAGTCTGTGAATATACAGATAGGTATAAATATTTTGATTCTCTCTTTGTCAAAATGGCTAAGGAAAACAGTTCACAGAAGCTAAAAGCTTTATTTTTATGATAAAGGTAGATCTTGTATATTAGTTTTTTCTGAGTCTGAAACAGTACTATATTTCTGAAGAGAGTTTAGAGCATTGAGGCCTTTATATGTCATCATTTCCCTTCACTAACCCATGGACATACACTTGGTGGAATTGGGGTCTTTTTAAAGTTTAAAAGTTGTTTTTTTTTTTTTTTAATTTGTGTACATGCATGTATGTTTGTGTGACTGTAAGCCACACGTGCACAGGTTCTGGAGGAGACCAGTGTAGGATACTGGATTCCGTGGAGCTGTAACTAAAGGCATTTATGAGATCTTTGATGTGGTGCTAAGAACTGAACTCTGGAAGAGCAGCAAGCATTCTTTTTTTTCTTTTTTCTTTTTTTCTTTTTTGAGACAGGGTTTTTCTATGTAACAGCTGTGGCTATTCTGGAACTCACTCTATAGACCAGGCTGGCCTCAAACTCACAGAGATCCACCTGCCTCTGCCTCCCAAGTGCTGGGACTAAAGACGTGAACCACCATGCCTGGCTAAACAGCAAGCATTCTTAACCCCACTGGGCTTAAAGCTTAAATTTCAATATGGAAAATTTCTCTGGACAGGAAGTAACTAGGAGCCCCATGTTCCACATCAGTTGCTCACATCTTTGGAATGCATGTAATATAGGTAAAATTTTACCAAGTGCGTATACTTGTATCATCCATACTCTATTAAGATATGCAATTTAAAACTTAAAATATAGAACAGGGCTAGCAAGATGACTCATCAGTTAAGAGCACGTTTCTCTTGCAAAGGACCCGTGTTCAGTTCCCAGCACCTGCATGTCAGCTTACAACCATCTGTAACTTCAGTTCTAGGGGATCCACTCTTCTGACCTTTCTGGTCACGTATATGGAACTCACACATGAAGACAGGCAAAATACTCAATCACCTGAAGCAAATCTAAAACATAAATATGTGTGTGTGTGCGCGCGCGTGTGTGTGTGTGCGCGCGTGTGTGTGCGTGTGTGTGTGTGTGTGTAATATTTTTATATAGAATAAATATATATAATATATAGTTAATATATTCATATATAGACTGCTTCATAATTTTGAATGTTATCCTTGCTCAGGGGCCTTGCTAATAAGTACCACATGAGCCACTGAGCACTTGAAATGTGGTTAATCCAATTTGGGATGTTCTATAAGTGTAAAAGTATACACCAGATTCCGTTACTCAATACCAAAACACCAGAAGTGAAATACTTTGTTAATAATTTTTGGTGTTTCTTTCACATTGAAATGATGATATGTTGAATATATTAGGTTATGAACGTCATTTGTGTATTTCTGCTTTTTAATGGGGCTAGTAGAAAATTTTAAGGTATATTTGTGACTAGGTCAGTATTGGTCTAGATTTTTAAAAAAAAAGTACAAGGTGCTTTTATTTTGAAAAACAAGCTGGCAGGGAGCTAGTTTGTGCTTTTCAATTTGTCAGTGATAATATCTGGGTATAAAGTGTATCAGAATACTCTGGGAAACTGTTGTGCCAGTTTTGCTGGTAAGATGAGAAACTTGTTGGTCTGTTTCATGACTTACTTAACAAAAGTAAATACTTCCTTAGTAGAAGTTTGTTCTTAGTTTTAAGAATTAAACTATTTAGCCTCCCAAGAGAAAGTTTTTAGACATTCAGTCGAGGTTTATATTTTTGTTTTATCTCTTCTCAAAGAATTCATAGTAAATATCTTTGACTCTGTATACTTCGGTTTGCTGAGTTTGCTTCGAAGATTAGGCTAGAATTGCAAGTGTTTATTGAAAATGAATAACACATGTGAAGAATCTTTCCATTCCTGTCTTTGATAGGGTAATCTGGTTAATGAAAAGTCATTCAACTTTTTCCTGTGTGATCCCTAGATTTATAATTTAAAACAAAATTAATGAAACTACCAAATGAGAATGTTTAACTTTTTAATAACAAGTTTTAACAGATTAGTTTAATGATGCATAGTACTATGCAATATTTTTATTACATCATGTCTATAGAAAAGATCGCTAAGCACTCAGCATCTGAAGAAATTGAATTAAAATATTGATTTTAATTACTAAATTTTTTCAGAGTTTTATTAATCAAGATAAAAGAAAAACAGAAGATGAAGATAAATCACAATCATTTATGCAGAAATATGAGCAAAAAATCCGACATTTTGGTGAGTCTACTGCTTAAATGTTCTTTATTGTGTTTGATATCATCCGTGTGTGTATAAAATTGACCCTCTAAAATGAGGTCCAAAAACCATGTGACCAGCTCCACGTGTGTTGTTGCTTGTGGCAAGGTTGATGATGTGCTTTAGACCTTGCTTGTATCTAAAACTAGGTTGTAAAGAGAAGCACAGTTCGGTCTGCTAATGCTGCTTTCTGTGATGGTATCACCGCTTTGCATTTCTTGACTGACTGTATGTTTTGGTTTTTTGTTGTTTCTTTGCATTAAAAGATAAGCATTCATTAAAAATTTTATATATTTTCTTTTCATGGGCAGTGGGGAGGGGTCAGGTGCATGCCACAGCACATGTGTAGAGGGCAGAGCACAACTTGATGGAATCAGTTTTCTCCTTTTCCCACCATGTGGGTGCCAGGGATTGAACTTCGGTCATCAGGTTTGGTGCAGGTACCTTTACCCACTGAGTCATCCTGCCAGCTCCAACACTCATTTTTTTCCTTTTCTCAGGTTTAGATAGATGATGTGTAATTCATAGTTCCTTGACATGTTGCTCAGATAATACACACACACACACACACACAGATCTAAGATGTCTATGTAAGTATATTCCACATGTGTAGGGGACCCATGGAGACCACAAGAGGGTGTCAGATCCCCTGGAACAGAAGTTATGGTTGGTTGTGAACCACCTAATCATGGGATTGGAACACACACACACACACACACACACACACACACACACACACGAATGCCATTTTTTTTTAAGATGTTTTAATCTTTATGTGTTTATATCTCTGTAAGTATATGCCACATGTGTAGGGGGCCCATGAAGAGCACAAGAGGGCATCAGATCCCCTGGAGCAGGAGGAGTTAGGGGTGGTTGTGAGCCACCCAACATGGGTGCTGGGACAGGAAGCACTCCTAATGACTGAACCATCTCTCCAGTCCCAAACTGGCTTTTTCTATTGTGGGAAGATGGGGGGCCGGGGAGAGGAGAGTTGAAGTAAATGAAGGATTCCTAGGGGAGGAGGCAATGTTTAAGTTTGTTTAGGAAGGCAGATAAGGATTTTCCATAGAGATTAGGCAACAGCATTAGAATTTGCAGAATCAGAAAATACATGCATGATATGTTCTGAAACTTACAAGCAGTGCGATACTGCTAGATTAAAAATGCTGCTTGGAAGTGTGAGGAATTGAGTTTCAGACCATATTTTTTTTTTTTTAATTCAAGTGTTGTATGAATTAACAGACTGGTTTTTGTTGTGTTTTATTCATCAATGGCATGTTGAAACCTTTTTCCATTTGTGCCCATCCCCTCAAAGTATTTTTTCTTCAAAAGGAAAAACTGTACTTAATTCAAGAATAGTTAGTACCTGAAGAAATCTGGGCATGATGGCATGTGCTTGTAATCCCAGCACTGAAGAGGCTGAAGCTAGGGGATCACAAGTCCAGGGCTAGCCTGGACTATGAGACTCTGTCACAAATAGCCAAAAAAAAAAAAACAAAAAAACAAAAAAAAAAAGAAACACAGGTTCACATTTCTATATGTATCATCGTGTCATTTCATATATAGAAACAGAAGGAATAAGCAGCCCTCTCTTGGATCGATATTAAAGTCTTTAAACCAGCAGGGTCTTGAATCACAGGGGTAGAAGATAGTAATTTGTAAAGGAGTCCTGTGTTGTCAGTTGCCATTCCTACTTCAGTCCTGCTACCAAGACCCATGTGTTCTGCTTCAGGGACATGATGTGCCATCTCCTGATGCTTCTTTCTGGACACACATAGCATTTGAGAGAACAGTGTCACTAGTGGTGCTTTTGCCCAGCTGGCATTCTGTAGGCTGGTTGCTTTGAAGTCATGTCACCTAGTAAGTGAGAACTAGTACCTTCTTTTGTTGTAGATTGAGTGCTTCGGTTAAATGCAGTTCTGTGTGGGAAAACCTCCCAGCTTCACAAGATGTTGTAATCCACCTGACACTGAGACTCAGTCTTCAGTAGACCCTTTCCTCACTGTGTAAAACCGGCTGTTTCTGAGTAGTCCATGGTAAGACCAGTGAATTTCATGAGTTCATGTTCATCATTTATTTTGATATAAAATGAACCAAAAATAATGTGGTACAATGACCAGTCAGTCCATCTAGTACACTCCAAAATGTAATTTGGTAGAAGCATGGTAAGAGAGAGGACACTTTCAGCTCTAGAAAGGGCTTGTTCATGTGAGGGATTATTGATCCCTCCAAGAAGAAATTGGACCAATATACTCAAGCTGCTACTTTATGACTGGATAATTAATTCTATAGAACGTAGTGCCATATTGGGGTTTTAGCATGAGTTTTTGTTCCTGAAAAAATTTGGTATTCATTGATTCTATTGGACTAGGTTACCAAAACATCCTTGATGAAAAGATTCCATGTTCTTGAGTCTGTGTATAATCTTAAGCCTATGCCTACCTAAGACATGATCCCTTAGTTTATGAAACTGTTGTGTGCTTAATCAGATGGCCAGGAAAAAAGGCTGGCTTGACATCCATCAGTGATTAATAAGCAGTTGTTTACCATTGCATGTTGTGAGCTTCCAGCATTTCATCTTGTAATACTAACCAGACCCTTGCTGTCTTCAAATCCAACCAGACTTATAGCCACTCCCAGATTCACATTGTACCTGTTTCTTAGTGGAAATGCACATTGGCTTTTCACTTTGGAGGAGATACCCTACTTGCTGCAGCACATTGGATCCACAGAAATGTTCCTAAGGTAGTAGGCTCCCAAACTTTTCATGTGTTTAACTTTCCACTCTCTGGCATATGTGTATCTTATTATATATAAATAGGCATCTGGGGCATCTACTACTTCTGCCTGCCAAGTTCCATGAACATAGAGTGGACTAAATTTACAGTTACACAGGTGATGAGATAGCAGAATCCACATTTACAAAGTGGTAGCACAGTTGATAGAGGCCCGAGACAAGAGTTTGAAGGTTTGATGCAGTCCACCTTTGGAGAAAACAAATACTTATGCTAGTGTATGCTATCAGTAAAGAAAAAAAGCATTGTCAGACTGATAGGTATATTGATGAACTCCTTAAAAAACATCTGGAATGGCAGCTGTAATTAAAGTTTCCAAGTTGGATTCTGTTGTAGACTCTTAAAAGAGGGCCTGGTGAAGGTGAGCTGTCTGTGCAGGACAGCAGGCACTTCAAACCAATACTTGTCTCGTTTGTACTTTCGTTCTTCATAGTTCTTCCTAATTCTCTCTTGTCCTGTTGGATGACTCTCTTCTCCCGTTGCTTTTTACCCTTCTACTTAGATGAAGTTTACCGATTAAATGGTACCATTGTTGCAGTGTTAAAGATTATTGAATCTGACTTTCCTTTACATTTTTGTTGGTTGGTTGATTCATGCTTTAGAAATCAAAATGCTGATTTAGACACAGCATGTTTCCTATTCATATTCACAACCATTTACAGTGATTTAACTGTTTAACCCCTTTAACATCACCGTCTTTGTGATTCTTGGAGCTGCTCTTTGAATTGTGCAGTGGTTTTTCAGAGCACATCATTTTCCCTTCCAGCCATAGTTAACTTTGATTCAGCTTTTTCTGAATCTCTGTAGGATGTGGTCACTGGGAAATTAATCAAAAACTATAAACATTTGTATAAAAACTTTTTTCATTTATAATATCTCGATTCTATTCACTTGTGCTTTACTTTAAAAAATTAATATCCTGTTTTTAAAAAAACATGCTATGAAATACTGAATAAAATATAAAATAAAATGAAATGAAAACATGTAGGATTTAAATTGTCTCTATGATAGAATTACATATTTTTTTAATTTGGGAATTAAGTTCTTCACAACAAATATAATTTTTATTACCTGAAAAAATATCTTAAGGTTTTATTCTAAAATTTTGCCATGGCTTAATATTTTAAAATGTATTTAGTATATAATAGTATAGCCACTGAACTTCATGGTCAGTTTGATGCCAGAGAAATGGGAAGTCAGAGGAGTTTCTAGAATACCTGATGAAGTAACCTGAAGCCTCAGAAGCACTGTAGGGTGGCAGGGAGAAGGATGGATTTGGTTTTTACTAACATGACTGTGCGTAGGCATGGAGGTGAAAACCACTTGTCTGGTGACAGAAACACAGGAGCACTCAGGCAGGAAAAGTAGTCAGTCTTCTCAAGGGTCTTTCAGCCTAGCTAGAGCACTTGTAGCAGATAGTTACAGTAGATGGTATACAATGTTAAGTGTATTCTGTAAAGATAATGCAGAGTTTGTACTGGGAGCAGTTTTAAGAATCAGATAGACCATTGAGAACTGATGACATTTAGATGTATGTAATTAACTTAATTTGTCAAAGTAAGCAAGTCTAAGAATTCTGAGAAATTGGTTAGAGTGGTTGGCTTCTCCTTAACCAAAAGATTGTCTTAATAAGTATTTGCTATACGAGTGAATTATTCACTATTGTGTTAATACATGCTATCAAGTATTTACTAGGTGAGGCACTGTTCTAAAAGCTTTATATGAATTAATATCTTTAATTCATAAAAATCCTTCATGTCAGGTACTGTTTTAGCCCTACTCTACGTGGGAAGATACCGAGGTATATGAGGGCACTTGCCCGAGGTGAGGCTGAGGTTCAGACCATCCCTGTCCATCATCCTAGATTATGTAACTCTGTTTACAAATTTCAAAATAACAGCAATTTCAGATATGTTCTGTTCTTGTAACTCTGGATTCTCTTTAAATACTTCCTTATAAAATTCCACACCTTTTCTCTTTAAGACCTAAATGGACTACTTGTAACTTCACAATTTCATACTAATCAAGATCTAATATCTTTGTCAAGTCTCAAGTGGCTTAGGTATTAAAAAGATAAAAACTTCAGCATGTAACGGATTGGTAGCAAGTGTTACCAGTCCTTTTCATACTGTCTTTAATTCAGAGTCCAAATGGACAGGGTTTTGTAATAAAGTCACAATGCTGCCAAAGTCAGCCTGGTTCCATGAGATCCTCTCAAAACATTAAGTATGGGGAAAGAGGGGGAGGGGGCAGGAACTGCCATAGGAGTTATTTTATGTCTTTAGGTATAAGAAATAAGGATTGGACTTTCATGAGCTCAGATTTTCAGCATTCATTAACTCCTAGGGAAGTAGTTTTAAATAAATTTGCAGAATCATTCTGTGTCTCAGAATCTTCAATGACCCAACTGTCAGAAAAGTATGGTGAACCCTTCTAATCCTATCACTGAGAGGCAGAGGCAGGAGAAGTTTAACGATTGAGTGATTCTTGAGTTATGTAGAAGACTCTGCCCCCCCCTTTTTTTCTTAACAACAACAACAACAACAAAAAAGACTAAAATTGCCCCCACCTTTTTTCTAAAGATAGTATATTTTCGATTGGTTCCCCACATGTTGCAATGTAAGGTGTTTGTCTTTGGTTTTGATCTTATGTTCTCATGTGAAATTTAGTATGTAGGAATTCATTTTGTGTTGAGAGCTGAATTTTATTGTCATATTCTCAAGACAGTCCTTTGAAACTTTGATAATGGCTTAATAATATCCGCACTGTTTTTGCTCTGTGTGTAAACTAAAGTTTCTGACATTGTGATACTCAGTTCATTCAAATGTAACCCTGAAGAGCACACTCCAGTTCCCATGTTATTTGGCAATAGTGTCTTTGTTAAATTAGTTAAAGATGCAGATGCATGCTAAGTACTACTTAGATTCGTTAATATCTTGAAACAAAATGGCAGTGTTTATATATGTTCAGCGACTTTTTAAAAAAAAAATAATTGTTTACTGTATACACTGAAAAGACAGCATTAGTATTGCCTAATGTAACTAAAATAATTGCAGTATATTAGTTATTATAATACTGACTTGCTTGCTTCCTAGTTGATAAAGTTTTCTGAATTGATAAATGTCTACATTTGACTCTATATCTTGGACTCTTTAAAAAAAAATTAGAGATATTCTAATTTATTTTGAATGTTTAGTAAGCCCTTAAATTTGCCACATATAATTTTTTAAAGTCTTGCTTTTTAAAGATTTTTGTGCTAGAGATTGAGCCTCAGGCCTCATGCATAATAATAGGCAAACACTTTGATCATTGAACCAGCCCCTAGCCCCCTTTTTTGTTTGTTTGTTTGTTTGTTTGAGAGAAGGTCTTGCAAAGTTGCTTAGGCTGTCCTTGAACAAGCTCTGTGGCCATCTGCAGTCTTTGGCTGCAGCCACTCAGGAACAGATTCTTAACCATCTTTCCAATGGAAAGCACTGTTCTCTTAGTAAATGATATATCTCGAAATCATTGGCTCCCCTTTAACCTTAAGGAAGACCAAGTGTCGCAGTGTCTGGGGACTTCAGGCATTCCTGTAAGCAGTGGAATTCAATTGGTCACTCTTCTTAAGTCAGGCTATCTGAAGTAAAATCTGCTGTAGTTCAGTCTGCTGGGTATTGCTTTAAGAATTATTAGTGCTCTTGGCTTGCCCTGTCACATACACACTGCTCTGGTACTGGGAATTGTCTTTAAAGAGAAACATTTAGAATTCACTTTTTGCCTCACAGGAAGGAAGGAAATGGTTGACAGTTGTGATTCAATTCTCTTTTATAGGTATGTTGAGTCGGTGGGATGATAGTCAGAGATTTCTGTCTGACCATCCGTACATTGTATGTGAAGAAACTGCTAAATATCTTATTTTATGGTGTTTTCATCTAGAAGCTGAGCAGGTATTGTATGAACCTTGAGTGTCTGCAAACTTGAATAGAATCCCTTCCTTCCTCCCTCCCTCCCTCCCTCCCTCCCTTCCTTCCTTTTTTTCATTATTTACTTTAAATGAAGCAGGAGGTTGGGCAGTGGTGGAAGACACCTTTAATTCCAGGACTCCAGAGCTAGAGGCAGGTAGATCTCTGAGTTCAAGGCCAGCCTGGTCTACAAAGCTAGTTCCAGGACAGCCAAGGCTCCACAGAGAACCCCTGTCTTCACCACCACCACCAACAACAACAAGGATGGCAGGAAGGTCATTAGAAGGAACTGTGAAGTCCTCCTGTTGTTTTCCAGCTTACTGCGAGGGTTTACTGTGGTTGGTTCCAGTGTGCTCGCTCTGCCGCCTTTCCATGCACTCTAGTCAGAGAGTCACCTTTGAAATTTCTCATGGAGTAACCATGATGTGAACCAAGCCAAAAGCATGTGGTTATTCTGGTCCACATAACAGCACTAAGACAACATTCACTTTATGTCTAGCTAGTCTTTTACTTAATAAAAAGTAAAATCTAAAGTACTCTAAAAATTCAAAATTGGCCTCAGTACCAGTTGAGTCTCTTTCCAGAAGTATTTTCTATAACTCTGGTATGTGTCTTTTTCAGAAAGGTGCTCTAATGGAACAAATAGCACATCAGGCTGTGGTAATGCAGTTTATTATGGAAATGGCCAAAAACTGTAATGTGGATCCAAGAGGCTGTTTTCGTTTGTTTTTCCAGAAAGCCAAAGTAAGTAGTTACTTGGTATTGTTAATTAAGAAGGTTGGACTGTAACTGAGCTCTCTTTGTTCTGTACATATCAGGAAGCTATCTGGGTAATAGGCTGCTAAATGCTGTAGGTTTTCTAGTGAAAAGAAATGTACAGTATTAGTACTTAGTACATATAAGCTAGTATAGTGCTTACATAGTATAAGTTAGCATTTATAATACAATGTAGTATTACAGTTCTTTGCTGATTGAGAGTTAAAATGAGTTAAGAGGCTACACTAGACCGTATATTTAAAACTCATTTTTGAAACTCATGCAAATTAATGTGACTATTGTGGAGTACTTCATCACTTACCCATTTATTATACAGAGTGTTTACTAATGGAAAGCAGAGCCATTTCAAATGGAGTGTTGAGCAAAACAGATACAGCATCCTCCACATGTAGAATTCACCGTTTAAGAAACCAAATTTGGCTGGGCAGTGGTGGCGCATGCCTTTAATCCCAGTGCTTAGGAGGCAGAGCCAGGCAGATCTCTGTGAGTTCGAGGCCAGCCTGGTCTACAGAGTGAGTTCCAGAACAGGCATCAAAACTACACAGAGAAACCCTGT